AAACATAAAACCGATGCTATTTTAAATTTTTACGGACACAAAAAACATACAAATGCAAAAACGACTTTCTAAGCAATATGAAGCATACTCTGTATAAAGAGTGTCTACACCACATGATTTGCTATTCTTCACGCACAGAATGTTTTCTAGGAATATGCGCCAAATGCCCTGGAACTGCAAATAGCAACAAACAACTTCTAGAGATCTTTGAAGACAATATAATAGAAACCGTTACATACAAACAATGGGTTCATGAAAAAAGAAGCACATTAAAAACTTTGACATCACCAATTGATAAATATTTGCAATCCTTAACAGACGGCTTAGATAAATTGCTGTTGCATTCCTTTATCGTTAAAAAACAGACAGAGCTTTTAAAGGATAAAAAAAAACAACTTATATTAGCAGTAAATGAATGTATCGTTTTGTGTGATATTTTCGAAAATTATGCTTTTGTTGTTCAAAACTCTGTTCGAGTTTTGCACTAGACTAATAACCAGGCAACAATTCATCAGTGTACCACTGCGATGAAAATAAAAAACTACAAATAAAAAAATTTGTATGCATATCTGACTGTTTACATCACAACACAACTGCTGTACATTTGTTCCAGAAATACGCTATCAAATTCATTAAAAAAATTATTTATTTTTCCGATGGATCGGGTTCACAATATAAAAATAAAAAAATTTTTATTAATTTAACTCATCACAAAGCGGACTTTGGTTTGGAAGCAGAATGGCACTTTTTTCCAACGCCACACGGCAAAGGACCATGCGACGGCTTAGCTGATACCTTAAAGAGGAATACTGCAAGAGCTAGCCTTCAACAAATAAATAATCCAATCCAAACACCAAAGGAATTATTTAACTGGGCTAAGGAATGTTTATCAAATATTGTGTGCCATTTCTCAACGTTAAAAGACTATGAAGTAGAAGAAAATAAGATTAAACACCGCTTAAAGAAGCTACATCAGTCAAAGGCACATTAAAATATCACTGCTTTATTCCAAATTCCAAAAAAGTATTAATGGCAAAAATATTTTCTTCTTCAGACATTTCAGATTATGTATCAATAAAAACCATAAAAAAATATTTTGTTTTTAGGTTCTATAACATTTCTTACCAGTCCGGAGTATTTTTCCAACTGTAGCAAAATAATAAATAACACTAAAAAAGGTAGGTGTAATTATGTGCTGCAGTTATGTAGGTAGTTCTGTTAGTGTGGAAGTAATAAATTTTTTAATTCATCAATATATGTTTTATTAAGTTAAAATACATATTTTAAAAATAGAGATGTTGCAAAACTAATTTAAAATGGTATATTTTATGTATAATTTTATATACATTTATTTTAGAAATAAAAATTAAAAATTTTTGTATGATTTTTCTTCGAAAATTGATTTAATGGTATTATGGTGCATATGAGCACGTGATGGGCGCCTAATAAATTAATTTTTTTTAATTACTTCTAAAAGAAATATCACACTGGAAATATTTATTGTTTAAGTAGAATTTATTGATTAATTTGAATTAAAACTAAAAAAAAAATTAAATTTTTTTTTTAAATTTTTTCTCACTTTTTATGGAATGCCAAATTTGTTTGTGTAAATAGTAACATTTGAATTTTTAAAAAAGTATTGATAGAAATCAAAAAAATTTTGATTTTTCTTCAAACACGCTCGTGCTTTTTCGTACACAATCGGATTTTGTCGGTATACAAAATTTCATATATTTTAAAGGGCCCATTAGACAGCAACGCTCGTTGTCAACGCGCGCTTGCCATTACACAAACAATTTTTTAGCAATTTTTTAAACACGCCCCAGATAAAACAACAAATATACTAAAAAATCGCTCTCACATGAGATTTTTTTCTCCTACTTTGTGAAATGCGAAATTTGTTTGTGCAATAGTAGCATTTGAAATTTTAAGAAATGCGTTGACGAAAATCAAAAAATTTTGATATTTCTTCAAACACGCTCGTGTTTTTGCATATACAGTCGGATTTGGTCGGCATGCAAAATTTCATTTATTTTGAGAAATGGAAGCGTAAGTATCGTTTAAATGCACGCATGATTTATCGTTAGCAGACGATGCCAATATGAATGAATTGTATCTTTTATTTTATATTTGTATTTTCTACCTAGGTAAAATTTTTTAATTTCCAAAACATGTTATTAAGAAGAATTAAAATATTAATAACCTTGGGCTAAAAAAATATAACCAAACATTAAATTACAATGAGAATTTTGTTTTAAATATTAATTGCATTGTGCACCTACGGAAAATTTGTTATTAAAATATACCAAAAAAAATTAAATTATATAAAATTTAATATATACCATATAAAAATAAATATATAAATTGAAATCATAAAAATAAATATATAAATTAAATGTAAAACATCATTTTTCGTAAGGAAATTACGCATAGCAGCCGCTGTTGACACTTCAGCGATTGCTTTGATACTGATGAGTGAACAAATTTTGCATTGTTTGCTGGAGGCGTGTTTAAAAAATTGTTGGTAAATTTAATGTGTTATGGCAAGAGAAGAATTCGTGCGTTTGTCAACGCACGTTGCTGTCTAAAGTGGCCCTTAGACAGCAACGCGCGTTGACAAACACACGAAGTCTTCTCTTGCTATTACACATTAAATTTACCAACAATTTTTTAAACACGCCTCCAGCAAACAATGCAAAATTTGTTCACTCATCAGTATTAAAGCAATCGCTGAAGTGTCGACAGCGGCTGCTATGCGTAATTTCCTTACGAAAAATGATGTTTTACATTTAATTTATATATTTATTTTTATGATTTCAATTTATATATTTATTTTTATATGGTATATATTAAATTTTATATAATTTAATTTTTTTTGGTATATTTTAATAACAAATTTTCCGTAGGTGCACAATGCAATTAATATTTAAAACAAAATTCTCATTGTAATTTAATGTTTGGTTATATCTTTTTAGCCCAAGGTTATTAATATTTTAATTCTTCTTAATAACATGTTTTGGAAATTAAAAAATTTTACCTAGGTAGAAAATACAAATATAAAATAAAAGATACAATTCATTCATATTTGCAAAGCATCGCATGCTAACGATAAATCATGCGTGCATTTAAACGATGTTTACGCTTCTACTTCTCAAAATAAATAAAATTTTGCATGCCGACCAAATCCGACTGTATATGCAAAAACACGAGCATGTTTGAAGAAGTATCAAACTTTTTTAATTTTCGTCAACGCATTTATTAAAATTTCAAATGTTACTATTACACAAACAAATTTCGCATTTCACAAAGTAGGAGAAAAGTAGGAGAAAAAATTCTCATGTGAGAGCGATTTTTTAGTATGTTTGTTGTTTTATCTGGGGCGTGTTTTAAAAATTGTTAAAAAATTGTTTGTGTAATGGCAAGCGCGCGTTGACAGCGAACGTTGCTGTCTAATGGGCCCTTAAGGGCCACTTAAGGAATGAAAGCGTAAACATCGTTTATATGAACTCATGATTTATTGTTAGCAAACGATGCTTTGCAACTATAAGTGAATTATATCTTTTAGTTTAAATATTATTTGTATTGCCTACCTAAGGAAAATTTCTTAATTTCTAAAACATATCGTTAAGAAGATTTAAAATATTAAATAAAATATAATATATAAAAAACAAATATAAATATATAAATTAAATATAAAAAATCATTTTTGCTTATAAAATGATGCATACCAATTGCTATTGACACCTTCAGCGATTGCTTCCAAAGACGAAATCTATATTTTTTTATAGGGAAATTTTCCGTAGAACTCGAAAATCAGGCTTTTTTTATATACCGTTTTCGAGTTACATTTTGCAAAGAAAGGGTTCGACTTATTGAGACTTCGAGTTAGAGAATTTTTATTTTTTTTTATTTTTCAAAGAAACTAGAATAACATTTTAAGATATTTATTTATTGGCAATCAAATAAAGCACAGAAGTTATAGTAAAGTAAAATATTGAGAAATTAAGGTTTGGGACTTTAATTTTTTTCTTGTTTTCAGTAAAAAGAGATTCCACTTTATTCATACTCTTTCACTATCAGTTGTAGTATCATCCGTTTGCAAATATAAATTCAGAATTTTGAATGAGTGTTCTACTTCATTCTTGGGAAGCTGATAAACAATTACACCCACCGAACCCTTATCATCACTTTCCGTTGCGCTAAAAATTAGATCCAGTAATTTAGAGCTATAGTGCTCAATAATATCGTCATCTGTAGAAAAGCATGATGTACAAATTTCATTACCAAGCTTGATATAATCGTTAAGAATAGCATTGGAAGTTATTTTATTTGCGTTAAACCATTTGCACGAAGAAGTAACATAAGAGAGAAAAAATTAAACATTTGGTTTGGAAAAAAAGAGTTCCCCTGACAGCAAAATACATTTATACTTAAAACAAAAATTTGACATGTATAATGCACTTTCTCCATGTTCCTATCGGCACGGAACAAAATTTTTGTGTAATTTTTTGTGTAAGAATTATATGTAATTTACTCTCTAAAACCTTGGTGCACTGTTTTTGGTTCAAGTTATAGAAAATTCGAGTTATAGAAGTTGGAGTTATGGAAATTTGACTGTATTTGCAAAAAATAACTTAAAAGCGGTACATGGGGAAAAAACGTTTTGATTTTCGAGTTCTACAGAAAATTGCCCTTTAGGAAATTCAGATTTCGTTTATGGAAAACAAAACTTTTAATTATTTGTAAACTAGTGTTATTAATAATGTTTTAAAGAAACTCTTAATGTAATTTACAAATTAATTTTAACCCCCGAAAAAGTTGGAAAGAAAACAACAAAACGTGAGGTTTCAAAAGCACATTGAAAAACATTTTTATTTGTGTTTGTATAAAACAAAGCCAGAAGAACGTAAATCAAAGTCAATAAACTAAAAATACTATATATTGTTTTTATTAGTATACTTAGTATTTAATTACGTTATTGATAAAATTTTTCTTCTTACCTGTTGCGCCACAGGATCCAAAATACTCTCTATTGTTTTAGTATGAAAAACTGGCATCTTAGAATTTATTATTTTTTTAATTAATCTTACTAAAAGTGAAACTTTAGGAATCTATCTTTTCAATGGGGAATATAAGAAGTAGTATTGAATATATGTATTCCAATAATCGGTTGACGGCACCCCCCAGATCGGTTCATTTTACTAAACAAAAAATCTGTGTAAAATTTTAGTTCAATTGGATAAGCGGAAATAGCGTCCCAAGAGCCCCAAAGATTGAAAAATAACCACTTTTTTCATAAAATTCATATTTGATTGCTTATATCTCCGTCATATTTAATTTTACATAAAAACTGTCTTCCCAAAAGTTGCAGATCTATAAACAATTCACTCGTACAAAGTTTTTCAATATTTCTAATAATTATTGAATAAAACAAAAAATTACCTGAAATCACCCGATTGCTGGGTTTGCAAGTGTTATGAATGTAATTGTCCGCTTTAGCTTTACAAAAACCGCTATAATTTGTTGCTGAAAAAAATCGTTAACAATTTTTAATATGTACTGTTTTTGGATCTCATTTTTGGTAAAATTGATTTAAAGTCGAGCATTATTTTTACTCCTCGCTCTGCCGTATCATTTACTACTTTTAAGCTTAAAAGCGTTTTCTTAGCTTGAATAAAACTAAAATAAGATCTTCATAACATTTTTACAATTCCCTTTTCGACGGTTTCAGCTATTTTTGCGCAATCTATTGATACTCTCCTGACTTCTTTGTCATCACTTTCTATATTCAAATTCGAAACCATCTTTGTCTTTGACTCATGTGATATGTTTAAATCCAAAAAAGCAAAAGAATAAGCTCTGAGCTTAAATAACAAAGATGATTATATAATTTCTCCAAAGTAATTCTATTTATATCTTCTTCATATTAACTGAGAGTAGAAAGAAGATTAAAATCTTGGAAATGAGCTTTGACTGATGGCAAAGTATTAAACCATACTTCAACATATACTTTAGTAATAAATATACATATATCGCATAGAGCATTTTCTTCTTCAGTATATAATTTGAACTATTTCGTAATTAAAAATTTTTTTAATGCATGCATGTATTTCGCCATCCATCTTGCGTGTTGTATAGTCCTAGAAGATCGAAACTTTATGCTGCAGTTCGGCTTTTCTCCTAAAAATATTAATGCAAGTTCCTTATAATCATTTCTTAGTTGGTTATCTGTACGAATCTTATAAAGGAAACTTGTAATTCTTAACACATCATCTGTGTTCAATGACTTTCTGAATTTTTTATATTCTAAGTCGACTGTCAAAATGTCAACGTTTATTTTCGCCCAAAAGTTTTGAAATCGTTAAAATAATTCAACATTCGGACTTTCGGACTTGCAAACCTTAGCATGAAGAATACTTTTGAGAATAATTCCGTAAATGTGATGTCTGCAAGCTAAATATAAAAGATCTCTTTCTAAATGGTTTTCAATAATTGAGCAAGTTTCGTTAAAAGGACCAGAGTTTACAGCTGTCGTATCAGAAACTAAAGCTTGCACGTAATCCTGTAAACCCCATTCAAATAGCAGATGCCTGTGCTCTTCCTGTACCATTTGTCAGTGCAGGTATTTCAAATAATTGCTCAACAGACTCCCATGAGATTATAATAGGTCGACAGTCCACATTTTGTTTTCCTTCTAAAGCTGGCAGCAATTTCTCATCCCAATGCACACAAACTGCATTTAGCTCACAAAATTTGAACTGTTTTTTTAAGTCTTCTACTCTTTGTGATCGCAATGTTTACGTTCATTTATTGGTATTTGTGCCTTTTGCCAAAATATGATAACTTCTTGTATAGTTAATGTAGCACTTTCGCTTAACCATAACTTAACCACACGCACGGTAAAAAAATACTTTTAATACCTATTAAATAACTATTAGTCAACCTACTAGAATGATAACCAACAAGGTATATATTTTTACGCAAATTTAAAGAAGACATCTGGTAACATTTTTTAATATAATTACTTTGAATTAATCAATTAAAATACTATAAAATTCACTTCGTATGCATTTACCTATATCACTATCCAAATTTTGAACTTATTTTGTAGCAAATTTAGTAAACAACATGCATTAATAGAATTTGCCTAAATTCAATCGAGTGATTTCAACTAATTTTTTCTTTTATTCAATAATTATAAGAAATACAAAAAAATTTTGTATGAGTGAATTGTTTATTTTTAATAGGTCTATAACTTTAGGGGAGACAGTTTCTATGTAAAATTAAATATGTCGGAGATATAAGCAACCAAATATGAATTTTATGGAAAAAATGGTTGTTTTCCAATCTTTGGGGCTCTTGGGGCGCCATTTCCACTTATCCAATTGAGAAAAATGAACCGATCTGGGGGGTGCCGCGGAAGATTTTCTGACTTTTGAAAATTAATGGAACCCTAATATACATATTTATATATAAGAAGTGGTTATGTTGCAATGAACTGGATTCTATTGAAACTTTCATATGTACGTATGTTTGTCGATATGCAGTTGATGTAGTTGTTTCTAAACAGCACATCATGACATGTGCATGCTCAGTTTACAATCATTTTGATATTTAAAAATTTTTTGTAAAAATTGGGCAAAAAATGTTCATAATTTGCTGTAGTCGTTGCGGTCAGTAGTATAGAAATCGTTGTTCAGTAGACGGTGTGATTTGTTATATATGCTAAAAACCGAAACTATTTCGCGAAAATGTATAGCCGCAATATAAAACGACAACAACTATCATTAAGTAAATATACAAAACAGATCAATATTAAACAAGATAAAGAAAACCAGGTAGTAGAATTGTTCATAGGAATTTTACATATTTGTTATGATCAATATAAGAATACAATTCTGTGCTTGTTCTCGGGCCTAATTTTTTTGTTATAATAAGACTGATTTTGTGATGTAATATATTTTATGTTAGAGTTGAATAAATTACGAAAATTAAAAAGAGGACATAACAGTGATGTCAGAACCATGACGCTAAATGCAGTAAATATGCAGATACTAACGAACACATTATTGGCAGCGATAAAACAAAATGCGATAGCAAGTAGTGGTGCCAAACTTCGTTACTTTTGGGTATTCGTACCTACCCGTTACTTTTCGAGTATGTATTCGTTACTCAGTATTCGTTACTCAGTATTAGTTACTCAGTATTCGTTACTGCGCTTTCGTTACTGCGCTTTCGTTACTGCGGTTTCGTTACTTCACGATTCCGATTAACGGCGCTTAGGACCGTGGGATGCTTAATGTTTAAATGCTTTCTCAAATTTGAAGTAGAACCACCTTTTATTGAATAGTTTGTTCCACATAATCTGCATTTAGCTTTTTCACTTCCTACTGGTTCAAAATGAATCCAAATTTCACTTTTTTTATTATTAATATTTTCACACATTTTTAATAAATTTGAAAACGAACAAAATTTTTGAATAAAGTAGTTGTTATTAAACCGCGAAAACAGCTGTTGAAAGTAATCGTTACCAAGTACTCAAAAGAGTAGGTAAAACGAATACTACTCATTGGTAAAATGAGTAAAAGTAACGAATACAATAAAAAGTTTGTATTCGTTACTCCGGTATTTCTTGAGTAACGAATACAAAGTAACGGATAATTACTTTTTTGGCACTACTAATAGCAAGCAACAGTGAAAATGCTAGAACATCTAATTTCGCAATAAACGAATCATTAGTGTTTGTTGCATCCTAAAAAAAATTAAAAGGGCAATAATATTAGTAAAATGAATTTAAGTTCACATCATGATTTCGCAAGAGTGTGTATGGAAACTAAACTAAATATAACATTGAAAGTACTAGCCCTTGGCCTTCCAAGGGAACCTGAATCGCTCTCCTATAGCGAGACAAAAAAAACTTAGGGTGTGCAGAACTGGGGCTAAACAGCTCGATCGGTTGGAGACGGTAAAAAAAGACGTATATTAAGAAGAGCGAATTAATGCCGTAAGCGCTTCGAACACTCCAGACAATTATTACTTTAACGACTTTACAAAATTGAAGATTGGGTTACGGTTGAAGAAAACGGATAGATAACTTACAAGCTATGCGATCTGCCAAGATATTAAGTTGAGTGAATGGGCAACGTCATCTAACCAAGTGAATTGAGTTTCGATTGCACCTACGGAATCGTCATTTCGGCGCAAAGAAAGCTTATCATAAATGGTTGCAGACAAAAATTGCAAGAAAATAAAATGCTCTATTTTGTGTATTTTTGTTAAATCTAATCAAAGATAAATGAAAATATGCTAAAATAACTTTAAGTTTATGAGTTAATTTATCTTGCTTCAATATGGTCACCTCTGGTATTAACTATAGCCTTCAAACAGTCAATGAAGCTATCGTACTTTGCTCGCAAGTGGCTTTGCGATATTTGGGCCCATTCTCGGCTTAGCGGTTGCTTCAGAGGATCAACGTTTTGGTATTTTTTAGTGCCAACAATAAGCCTATAAGCCCATTAACGCGATGGAGACGTTGATGTCTTTAGTAAATGCGAACCAGCATTATGTGCCGAATACTGTTGTACTAACAGCAAATCAAACAACAGATGCAGTGAGTGTATCTTTCTCTTCAATGACTGCACCCAACCAATACATAAACAAATATGCGTGTGCATCAACAAACACAGTGTGGCCTATGCAAGCATTGCATGTAACGAATGACCCTAATGTGTCTACTTTGGCGACATTAATCCTTTCAATCCCTGAGTATGTGTCAAAGTTGCCCATATTCACGCCAAACATAACTGTAGTAGCTACGTCTACAGAATATGTACCGTACATGCTGAACAAAAAAGATGTAGCTAGTGCAATGCAAGGTGCAGGTAACCACTGTAACATACGATAAATTATAGATGCTTTGCCATCATTTTACAGCAACAGTGATCAGTACAGTTTGTTCAAAGTGTTGAACAATTAAAGAATGCATACCAGTGGAATGACACTAGTGTACTATTTGCCAAAACAGGAAAATTGAAAGGTTCCGCAAAACAGTGGATCGATGCACAACCAG